ATATATATATATATATATATATATATATATACATATAAATATATATATATATATATATATATATATATATATATATATATATATATATATATATATATATATATATATATATATATGTATATATATATATACATATATATATATATATATATATATATATATATATATATATATATATATATATATATATATATATATATATATATATGTATACACATACACAGAGAAAATGTCTACATATTCTTGGTAGCCCTATTGCGGTTTTGCATTCAGTTAATGTTCTATAATGAAATATATAATGTAGCATATTTTTTGTTATTGAATCAGTGTTTTAGTGTCTGGTTCTGGCGAAGACGAAGCTGTCACTTCATTACTAGTCGCAACTAGGCGGAGCAGCTGCAAGAACCATTTAGAAAGGTATAAGATTTTTATTTGATACAGATGTCATTTATAGATCTTTAAAGCATGAAACATTTACAATTTTCAAGTTGTAGCTATAATTCACACTTGCTGTTTTGAATGAAGGGGGATATGCCGCCTTTTCAACTAACAAACAATACTAGAAAACGCATTTACAAAGTCAATGTTAACGAATGCTACATGTTTTGTAAAAAAGGTATGAATGAGAATGAATATTTTCACAATACTTTCACAGTGTATTTGACCGGTTTCAATTGTATCTTCGTTTCTGACGAAGATATAATCGAAGCCGGTCAAATACATCTCTTGTATTATGAAGATATTCATTCTCATTCAAACCTTTTCTACATTTGCCAACATGAGTGCGGTTCATACATGTTTTGTTAACGCTTATCTGAAGAGAACGAAAGATCAAATGGCTTACGAAGTTTCCAAAAATAAATACCAAAACACTTGATATATTATATATATCATATATATGTACTCATTCTTACAAACAACCAAGGGTTCACGCCTCACTTGTAAAATGCTATTTACGGTATGTTTACATCGAAGTGGCTGTCAGTGGGACCCAGCCAGTGCCCTGAAATATAATTCCGCAACTGTACACACACACAGACATACACACACACACACACACACACACACACACACACACATATATATATATATATATATATATATATATATATATATATATATATATATGTGTGTGTGTGTGTGTGTGTGTGTGTGTGTGTGTGTGTGTGTGTGTATGTGTGTGTGTGTGTGTGTGTGTGTGTGTGTGTGTGTGTGTTTGTGTGTGTGTGTGTGTGTGTGTTTGTGTGTGTGTGTGTGTGTGTGTGTGTGTGTGTGTGTGTGTGTGTGTGTGTGTGTGTGTGTGTGTGTGTGTGTGTGTAAACACCAAGAAAAAACAGATACAAGAGAATTTTCAGCAGTGAAACTAAATAACTTTGTCTACTGTAAATCTCAGAAAGCCTGGTAATTGTAACAATTACTTAGATAAACAAAAAGGGTACAACACGGATCTGAAGAATTACCGACCTATAAGCCTCCTTCAGATCAGTCATCTGCAAACTAATTACAAAAGTCGCATCTCCGACCCTCTAGACTCTAGCCTGCCCTATGCACTCGTAGATTTCGAAAATGAATTTGACTCTGTGCAGATAATAGAGGTATTAGAAGCTATTCGAAAACAAGTAGAGGAAGTGTGTTGTAAAATATTGGAAGATATATATGCGAAAATGGGGCAGCACCCAAGAAGCTCCATAAAGAAACCGATAAAATACAAAAAAAAAAAGGTGTTTGGCAGGGTGACACCATCACACTAAAACTGTTTATAGCTTGCCTTGAAGAGATAATTAAAAAGCTAGAAGCGGTATCAAAACAGGGGACAAGCCTCTAAACAATCTAAGATTTGTAAGTTATTAAACGAGATGAATATAGAAAGACTGAACGTTGGACAGGATGGACAGGAAAAAGACTAAGCTCAAATTTAACAGTAAATTTCAGTCTGAACAGATACAAGTACAAGACGAAAGGTAGTGGATGAGTATATACATGTATAGGGCAAATAAAGAGAAGAGTAAATAAAGACAAGAAATGGGCAAGGTTGGAGCGCCTTCGATAGATACAGTAGCATATTAAGAGGTTCCTTGCCATTATGTTAAAATAGAAAAGTCTTTAACCAGAGCGTCCTTCCAGTCATGGAATTTGGGTCAGAAGCATTTACTACGACCAAAATAATGGAGAGGAAACTGGTAAGTGCCCAAAGAGCAATGGAAAGACTGATGCTGGGAATTAGCCTGAGAGATCGGATGAGTCCAAAGTAGGCGATATACTTTAGAGGCTTAAAAAAATGGCAATGGGCAGGTCATATATGTCGGAGACAAGACGACAGATAGACAAAGAGAGTAACAGATTGGGATAAAACAAACAAAAGGACAAGAACCAGACGGATGCCAAGACTGGAAACAAAGACCACAAGACAAAAAAATTGGAAAAGGTTGGGAAAGGCTTTCGTCCTCCATTGGAATGATACAGGCTGATGGTGATGATGGCAAATACACAGACACACACACACATACTGAGATATATATATATTTATATGTATATATATATATATATATATATATATATTATATATATATATATATATATATATATATTTATATATATATATACATATATATATATATAAATATATTTATATATATGTATATTTATATAAATATATGTATATATATATATATATATATATTTATATAAATATATGTATATATATATTTATATAAATATATGTATATTGTATATATATATATATATATATATATATATATATATATATATATATATATATATGTGTGTGTGTGTGTGTGTGTGTGTGTGTGTGTGTGTGTGTGTGTGTGTGTGTGTGTGTGTAGGATATATATATATTATATATATATATATATATATATATATATATATATATATATATATATATATATATATATATATATGTATATATATATATATATATATATATATATATATATATATATATATATATATATATATATATATGTATGTATATATATATATACACACATATGTTAATATATATGTATATACATATATATATATACATACATATATATATATATATATATATATATATATATATATATATATAAATATATATATATATATATATATATATATATATATATAGAGAGAGAGAGAGAGAGAGAGAGAGAGAGAGAGAGAGAGAGAGAGAGAGAGAGAGAGAGAGAGAGAGAGAGAGATTATCTTTCTTATCGTTATTTTTTTATTAAGACGTGATTTACTGGCCTGATTTGCATTTTAATGAATATCTTTTTCTAAAGAGTTTGGTATGGTAATGGTGTTTCCATAATTAAAGATTATAGTAATTTGATGGAATTGATATAAAGTATATATCCCTGGAAATCCTCAAAAGTATATGATTTTTTTTTTTAACTAGATTGTTGTTCTTGATACTTTTCCTATCTATACA